AAGCAAGAGGGAGCTGAGAAACTGGAACGCGAGGTGGAAGAACGTAAACCTAAGAGGGAAGCTGCAGAAATGCAAGTTTCGGTCGGGGCTGCTAAAGAGAAAGAAGATTTTAAAGAAAAAGGTGAAAAAGCTGTAAAGGATGTTTCTGGTCCCGAAAAGCACGATGAACCAGCTAAAGTAAAAGACGAGGTGGAAGATGAAATGGAATCGAAGCAAACCGAAGGAGAAATAAAAGATGCAGGGAAGATAAAGTTTAGCGAGGAACGAAAAAGAAGGCAGCAACGAATGAAAGAGGAAGAAGAAAGAATGAGACAAGAGAAGGAAGAAGAGAGAAGAGTGGACGAAGAGAGAAGACGTAAACGGAAAGAACGCAGGAGAGAAGAAGAGGAAGCGATGTTAGAGAAGGAAGCAGCTGAAAGATTAAGAATCGAAGAGAAACGTAAGAAAAGAAAAGAAGAAGCAGAGGAAAGCAGAAAAAGTAGAGAAGAAAAATTAAAGAAACAAGAAATGGAACGGTTGGAACGCAAGAGAGCCGAAGAACGCCAGAGAAAAGAAGATCTCGAAAGGATGAAAAAGAAAGAAGAAGAAAGAATGAATACAAGAGAGAATGAGAGAAAAGCAAGACGCGAAGAAAGTGCAAGATTTCTAAAGGAAGAGGAGGATAGATTGAGACGGAGACGCGAGGAGGAATTGTCCTTGATAAATAAGAGACGACGAGAAAGAGCAAGGGACGATACGTGGTCGAGACTAAGAGAGAACGAATCTGATAGATTTTACAATAGACGAAGTATAGACGAGGAATTAAGTAGGAGTAACAGATCTCATCGTTTCGATTCCGATTTACAATTAGAATCGACGCTTTCGGACACGTCCAGATCGCACAGTTGGAGAGAATCTCTCGCTTCCTCTGGAAAAAGAAGCATCGACGATTACATGGATTACAAATTACACGAGAGCTCGTTAAACAGATCTCTGTACGACGTTGGCTCTTATTATGGTACAAGAAGACGAAGAGAAGATCGTATTAACAGAGCAAGGTCGATCAGCTTGTTAAAATACGACGAGTATCATACGGGCGATACCGATTATAACCTTTCTTACAGCTCGGCGAGTAAGCCTCCTAGATGCGCTAGAATCAAGATCCCTTCTTACATCGAGTACGACGATCTTGATTCGAGTACTTTAGAGGTAATATATTTTTCACGTATTTACTTATTTGGCTAATTAATATCTCTATACGTAGAAATGATACATTTTGGAATATGCAGAGTATCGTGCAGGATAAAGGAAAGAAACCATCGTTCTGTACGCGACTTACCAATAGAACGGTAGGCGAAGGTATGAGAACGAGATTAACATGCACTGTTTTGGGACATCCCGAACCGCGCGTTTATTGGAAAAAGGATGGTCAAGAGTTATCACCCTCGTCAAATAAGCATCTAATTAAATTCGACAATGGCATGGCTTATTTTGAATTAAAAGAAGCTCTTGTCGAGGATTCCGGAGTATACACCTGCGTCGCGGAAAATACTCACGGATCCTCGTCTACCGAGTCAACTTTGAAAGTCTACAGAGACTTTGTACAACCATTATCGCCACCGATGTTTACCAAATCCATTAAAGGTAGGTCCAAAGATTGCTTTCCGCATCCATACCAAGCCGCATACCTACTACCCACCACACGTATTATATTTCCTTTCAGATACGTATCGATATTCCGATCACGAATTAGTGTTAGAATGCCGAGTTCGTGGATATCCAAGCCCTACGATTACCTGGTTTAAAGATGGACAAATTCTCGACGATGCAAGATATACTCAAAAGTATTTAGACGACGACATTTACCGATTGGAAATATCGAATCCTAATGCTTCGGACAGTGGACGTTACATTTGCAGAGCGAGCAACGAAATACAATCCAGCGAAATATCGCACATCGTACACTTCGAAGGTTAGCATAGCAATTTTCTAAATCCTTCCTGATCCACGTTGGCGGATTGAAAAATAACGTAAGGATAATTTATTAACGTTGAAGGACGAGATGAAACGTCTACTTGTAGAAGTAGACATAATCGATTCATGGAGGATGAGACGAGTATCGAAGCGTCCAGGAGACCTCGCTTCTCGAGTCTTTTGAGTGATCACAGCGTACCTACCGGTGGTACCATTGCTCTTCAAGTCGAAGTCAAAGGTATATTCGAGCGTCATTAAATAGGAACATAGTGGGTACAATTTTCATTTGAAATCTTCGTTGGATAGGAATGCCAGCACCGGAAGTGAGATGGTTGCACGGGGAACGAAAAGAACCAATTTCCATATCAAAAGCGAAGACTTTCATCGAATCTGGCATTCATACTCTTATCGTACCGGAAGCAACAGAATCGGAAAGAGGTACCTACATTTGCAGGGCAGTGAACGCTTACGGATACGTCGACACAGCTGCTACGATCGAAATAATATCTCCTAGCGCGATCGACGGTGGAAAACCGGCAATGTTCGTTTCCAGACCTTCGGAAAAATCCATTGCGGTGGCTATCGGGGAAGATGTCAGTGTATCTTTTAGAGTCACCGGTGTTCCGAAACCTCGAGGTAACGAAGATAATTATAAATCAAATTAGACATAACGAAGAAGGACTTTTTCAATTTCGTCTTGCTAACAATAAGCAAAATGATCTTCCTTAGTAACATGGATGAAAGGTTTAAAAGATATTACGGATGGTCCGCGATCGTACAAAGAAGTTATCGATGACTACGTCAGATTGACTTTGAAAAGGGCAGTACAAACCGACGAAGGCACTTATTGTATTTTGGTGAAGAATCGCTACGGATGCGATAGAAGTTTCTTCTCGATTTGGGTGAGTAAATCCTATGCGATTGTAGTAGACTGAAACAATAAGAAAAAATAATATTTGTAATGATTAGATTAAGCAAAGAGCGAGATCGCTAACACCGTTGCCCGACTGGAATCGCTCTGATGCAGGAAGTATACAAAACGAGGATGAATTGTCTTACATAAAAGGTAAGTTCGATCCAAGACACGTCTCTGTAAAATATAATATTATTTTATTACGTAATTAATGCAAGAAAAAAGACAAGACGAGCAACGATAAGAATGATCGTACAAATGAATAATGAAGTAATTATAATTAGAGTAGCGATATACGACACACAGGGACAAGGATTACAGCGAGTACACTTGGCCCCAAAATCGTTTGGCTTTATTCCAAGTAGTCCCTGGGCTAAAGTGTTTTGCAAAATGACGTCGATATTTAGGTTGACTGCTTATAAAGCCAACGCATTGTACTAAAGTCTTTAAACTTCTTATAAGTATCCACGTACGTGCTAGGTATAAATCTGCAAAAAATAAACGTTACGAAGGTGGATTAAATGCACCATTAAATGCCACTATTTTGATAGTTTCTCTATACTTGCAAGCAGTTTCATTAAAACGTGAGAGAAGCTGTTTAATAAAAAAAGTAGTCGCGACTGTCATCATTTTTGCACGACCCTTGAATCGATGCCAGGTATAACGGCGGTTCCTTGACCAAATCCTCGACTGTCTACAAAGTATTAAATATCATAAATATATACATACGTATATGTAGTAACAATAAATAACATAGTGTGACTGATTTATCACGAAGGACGAACAAAATTACTTACATAGGAAGTTGGAGTGGCTTCAGAATTTTGGATCGCGAAGCCGGAACCTTTGTGGTCCATTTATGGCACAGTTCGATCTTTACAAAAAATCTAAATGCTTACAAGAGAAATGACGTTTTACAAATTTAATAATTATCGCAAGCTTGGTAGATTTAGCGAAAGAAAAATCTTCGAAGGTACATATCTCTTCTTTGAGAAGCTTCGAGCAACAAACGCCAACGATTAAGCAACCACGGCCAGTACATAGATATTCTACATCGTGGTTATCTATAGTTACAAATAAATGTGAGCTATTACTGACTAAATAATTTACATAAACGATCCCATTATTCAAATTCTGTCTAAACTCGTAAGGATAAAATTTAAATTAGGATACAAATGATAAATACTTTTCGGAAGAACTTTTGCAAAATGGTTCAAGCAATGAGAAATATAAAACTGATATTACCACCTACGTACGCAATTTGAGGAACACTTCCCGTTAGGTTATTTTCGTTTGCCTCCCTTACCCATTTCCTTACCCCTTCCTACTTTTCTCATTGCCAGAAATTTGAAATTCAGTCGGCATCGAGAACCGTCTTGTCTCTGTTCTACTTTTTTCTCGAAAAACGCAAATCAATCGTACCACAGAAAGCGAACTGTATTCTGTCGTTAAACGTAGAAATGTGAAAATTCGGAAGAATGAAGAATCAGGATAAAAAAATGGTTTCGAACGATGACCTCGAATTATCGAGTTCTCGTTTGAAACGATCTTTGGCCAACGAGGATAGTTTGATCAGCGATTTCATAGAATATTTATTCGGACATCGAGGTAGTAGAGAGTACCGGTACTTTTCAAAAAAGCGCCACGACGATTTAGAAATATTTGTACGGCAGATGTTCCTGGAGCAATCGGCAGCGAGCCAATAGTCATCGATGGAGGAAGAAATTGGTTGTCCTTGAGTTGGGCCAAGGCAGAAAGGAAAGGACCAGCTCCGGTGATCGCCTACAAGGTGGACGCATGGTTGATGGGTGGAGAAGGCGGTGCTCGTTGGGCCGAGGTACAACACGATAACTTTAATCATTATCCAATGTAATCGCGTTGCTTTATTCTTTACTCACTTTGCATACCCCAGCTGGGCATCACGCCGATCAACGCCTTTGACGCGTTCAATCTTCGCCCAGGTGGAGAATACAAATTTCGCGTGACGCCACGAAATCGATACGGATGGGGCGAATCTGTTACGATGTCTAGTTCCGTCACGGTCACCGAAGTCCTCGATCTTCCAGAATTCACGAAAATTCTCCCCGGTCAGCTGAAGGCTCTTCAAGACACGACGATCAAATTGGAATGCGAGGTGAGACTTTTCCTTGTGTGATCTACATAACTATTATATATTTCTTCTTCGTTTGATATTCTATTTGAATTTGTATGGATTTTAGATTCGCGGTGATTCCAATATAAATATGAAATGGTATCGCGAAACAACCGAGATCAATCCTAACAACGACTCGAGATATTCCATCGGTAGGAGAGGTTTCAGGTGCTCTCTTACGATAGAAAATATAAAAGAAGATGATTCCGGTAGATACGTTTGCGAGGCATCGAATAAAATTGGTAAAGTGTCGTCTTTTGCTAGAGTGCTCGTAGTCACCGATCCGAAGATCATCGAAGCGGATGAAAAACTTAGATCTAGGTATTGTTCATAGATATTTTATTGTTGTTATAGTTTTATTTGAAAGCAATTTTAAAACGCAACGATTGTTCTAATATTAGAATTTTGGGAGATGAACGAGAAGAAAGGCCGCCGCAGTTCGCCATGAGATTACGAGATAGACGGGTTCAAGTAACTTATCCGGTACGTTTAACGTGTCAAATTATGGGTTATCCTGCTCCCGAGATAATTTGGTTGAAAAATGGGCTGGAAATTCCTCAAGATGGTAAATTAAAGCATTGCTAAAGACGTTAAATGACGATTAACATTTATAATCGATAGCTACGTATATCTCGATTTGTTCTTTTTCTCAGAACGTCACGTCGTTTGGGACGACGAGTCGAACTTTCACACTTTAGAGATAATTCATTCGACGCTCGAAGACTCCGGATGTTACATGGTAACGGCCAAAAATATCCATGGCTCGGTGTCTTGTCGATCCGTCCTCGTAGTCGATAAAGGAATTCGTGCTTACGTTGCTCCAGAATTTCTCTATGGCTTGGATGCAGCTTACACCGTAAGATTAAACGACGAATTACGAATGTCAGCTCAGATCGAGGCTTATCCTAGCGTGGGCGTAGTATGGTAAGCAAACAAATATCTATCATTTTTATATTTTTTCTTTCTATTGTATAATATCGTTGTTTTGATTTGATCAGGCATCGCGACGGGTTGCGTCTACGACCTAGCAGAAGGACTATCATGACTTTAAGCCACGACGGTACCGTCGAATTATCTTTGGCAAAAGTTAGCAGCAGGGATGCCGGTGTTTACAGTTGTACCGCGATCAATGAAGTTGGCCGAGCTGAGACATCCACGCGGGTCAACGTTATCGTCGAATCCGATGAACCAAACGACGAACAGGTGCAATCTCTTTCCGAAGGATTGCCAACGGTGACGATAGCTTCTCCCGATGTTCCGTGCGTATATCGACAAAAAATCCTTATTCCGTGAGAATTCGGAAAAAACCTATTATCCCTATCTCGCATCATTTCGCAGATATTCAAAGGAACCCCTATTTGTCACGAAACCTTTATCAACCGAAGCTCTCGAAGGAGACACGGTCATTATACTTTGCGAGGTCGTTGGCGATCCTAAACCGGAAGTTATCTGGTTGCGTGACTTCCTAAAGGTAATTACTACTTTATTGATATTTCATATCTAGGCATACGTTAGAAAAGGGAGAGAGCATCGAAAGAAAGCTAATTAAATGATCCGAACTTGCAAGTTGGACGGGGGCAAGTACGTTGAAGAAGTTGCAAAGTTCATTGTGCAATTCCAGAAAATGACGTGTCCCTAATGCTGCTTCGGTCACGATGTAGGTCAAGGTGGTAGCAAGAAAGAAATGATAGTGTTACATACCGCATTATGCCCATAGCGAGTCAGGTATTATATGCGTCGGGGGAAACGGCATTTATTTCGCGTCACCTCTTTAAAAGGTAACAGTACGTGCTACGCGAGATTAAACGAGGGGCCCAAAGATGGAACGGAGAAAGAGAAAGAAATGCCAACTGCCAAAAAGTGGTCCTTTGACGAATATCAAAAGAATGATGGAACGATTCGAGTGTAATCGAAACGTCGTGCATTCGTCGTCGTTCGAAATCCTTTTACGACGAAATTTCATTTCCCCTCAGCAAAGAGATACACAAATGGACTTAGGCGTGGGCGTTAACGTTAATAAAAAGTCAAGGGGAATACAAATTAGGCATATCGAAAGTATTATCCGTGACGTAGGACCTAGGTATAGGTATAATCATTTTCATGGTAACGTTCGCGTCGACGTCGTTCCGTTGAGACGATCAAAATATTGCGAATCGTCGAGCGGAAAAGAAGAACCGAAGGGAAAGGAAGAAAACGATGCTGCCTCTAAGTATTTACGTCAAACGAATATTTGCATAATCGAGAAGAGTGCAAGTACTTACTTACTTACTTACCTAGAAGGCGTCGTCCCCACTTTTCGTCGACCAACTTGGCTTTCTTCGCCGATGGATCGGTACCCGCGAAGTACGAACGGTAAAACAGTCGGTGTGTAACTTTGGCGAATGAATAGCCTTCTGTCGATCGTCGTTCTCCTCATCGTCGTACGACCGACTATATATTTAACTATTTATTTGTCTCTATCGCACAGAAGCGCATTCTTTGTCATTCGAACAGTGAGAAAAGTGAGTAGAAATAAGCCAGACGTTATTTCATTCCGGAAGAACGATGCTTTCCCATATGGAATTTCGTATAAACAAATGTGAGCAATAAATCTCAGCCGACGTGCATGTGCAGCTTCGAAATGACTGACTTTCTTATTTCAAAAGCACGTATGTATAGGCACATAAATAAATATAATACTATATAATACCAGTTACCATCCCTGAAAATCTGCATAGACTCTCATTGACAGAGTCAGAACTCTGGAACAATTGTCTCGATGACGATTAATTCCATTATATTTCTATTCTCTTTCTCTCTTTTCGATTAGAAGTTGAAGAGCAATGGATTATTGTCGTACGTCAGGACAAGTTCCCAGTCGTAATGAGTCATTCTCATTCTCAGGGCTTTTCATCGGTTCTCTTAAGGATATTCCTCCAACGAAAACGAATCTATTTACTCCGAGGAAAACTTGGCCGAGTCTCGCGAGTTAATCTTTCGCGTAGTAACTGCGCGAACGTGCGAAGCATCAAGCCAAGCCACCAAATACATACATACGTTCAACGAGCACTCCTTTTTAGCTAACGACTATGTTAATGCTGCAAACGTTTCAACAAACTCCTTTCTTCAAATCTCCCCATTCTTATCAACTATTACTATTGGAAAATGTATTTGAAATGACTAATTACTATTGGAAATTGTACGATATAGCCACCCCTGTGGGAGAAAATCGTCGAAAGGTAATAGGAAGGTGAAGCAAAGTTTCGATCTATTGCACCGATATACCTGTTTTTAATGCTCTATAGAATGTCCTTGCACTAACCAGTTTATGGCGTCCCTCTTCCGTAACGGGAAGTGTCGTCCGCATAAATTTCATCGTAGGCGAAGCGTCGCGTTGGTGCACGATAGACAGGTGAAAGACGGATGGGTCTCGGAAGGTCCATTATGTCAAGAATCAGCTCGCGTTAGAAAACTTGAAAACTTCATTTATCGCAATGAGATACGATTGATCGATACACTTTTCCTTACGAAATAACATCGACGCATTGATGCCTTTTCTCTTTTATTTTGATCGTCTAAAATATTTGAAAGAAGGATCTACGTATGAACTATTTCATGCGTTCGCAATTGATAGAGATGGAAAGGAAGATAATTATTAATAGGACAAAAAATATAAATATTCAGTTGTTGGCACTTGTGTCTGTCATACGCATAACAAGATCAGTCTCGAACGATTCGATCGACTTTCGCTCCCTATATGGGCTAGAGTTTCAACGAGAATACTACTGTCGTCTCTTTTTCTCAATCTTTTTCTTGTTCGTCCTCTCTTGAAACATCTCACGCTGAGTTTGAACCCCGTGTAGCTTTAAAAAAGTGACAACTATAGGCCATCTAAATGTACGCGAACGATACGACGTACCGCGGTGGTACTCGTACACGTCCTATATTCCTATAATACGAAACGTTTACAAAAAGGAGTCGCTATTAAAACACGTTGCTTCTTTTTCAACGTAGGCGTGGGAATCGCGGAAACGCGTTGGTATCTAGGTCGAGGTCAGGCGTCTCGCTTCTCTTTTTCGTTAACATGCGAGCGACGTGCGACGTGCCTACATATTTATATATGCGAACCAGCGAAACCCAATCTCATCTTCGAACCTCTCAAATAATCGATTACTTTTTTTTTTTTTTTAACTAATTGCAGCCCGATTACTATAGAGACGCGCCTCATTTTCGGCTGGTGGGTAAAGGTCCTCAATACAGATTGGAAATACCTTACGCGAAACTCGACTTTACCGGAACGTATTCGGTCATTGCTCGAAATTGTCATGGAGAAGCGAAAGCCGTAATCTCTTTGCAGATCTATGCTAAAGGTTAGACACATTCTACATTTCCCTAAATATTTTTTATATTCAAACTTGCTATTAATTAAAATCACTTAATCGTTATTAACACGATGTGTTATACTTTTTATATAATCGCATATTATAATTAGACGAATTTACATTTTCTTTTTAGGTCAGGGTAAAGAAACGACGATGAAAAAATCGGCGATTACGCACGGGTCAGTATCGAGTTGTTAAGCATATGAAAGTACATCTATTTTTTCGTATTTACAAAATGTCTACACTCTTTGGAAATATATTATCTACATTTTATTGAAATTTTGACGTTCGTGTTCCTCTTCTGCAGGAAGGTACTCACCTTGCCCATGGTAACAAGGGAACTCCGAGATATAAGATGTTGCGACGGCGACGCTGTAACTTTGGAGTGTAAATTTCTTGCCACACCAGAACAACCTAACGTTCGCTGGGAAAAGGGTGGAAAGGTAACGCTGGCGCTTTCTTCATTTTCCTATCTATTTGTTCAAATAATATTAGCAAAGTGGATAGCACAATAGGCAAAGTTATTGGTTACTTTTAGATAATAACCATGGGAAACGATTTTACAAGTGAATTCGATGGCGAAGTAGCACGACTGAGCATCCAACACGTTTATCCCGAGGACGAGGGAGAGTACACGTGCGTCGCTTACAACGAACTTGGAAAAGCATTCACGTCGGCTTGCATAGTTGTCGATGGTATAATCGAATCTTATTAAATTGATTTTCCTATCAATTTGGATATAATAGGTTTGAATTCTTCTTCGATTCGCAGTACCCGAAGGGAAAGAAAACGTACTAAGCGAAAGATTAACGCGACCGGTTGGCCTACTATCGGCAGGATCAACGCCACGATCGACTCCACGATCGACGCCTATCAGAAGTTTGTCTCCTGCGGTTTCTCGTAAGTTATACCTAAGAAACCGTATTTTTCATTGAAATCTTCTGGAGCAATGGATGAGATCATTTTCCTTCGATTTAGATGGCCGCGAGCTAAGGTCTCCTCAACTTCCACCGCGATGCGGTTCGACGATAAAACGAACAAAATTCAGTCCACCGAAATTTTATTCCGTACCGCACAATCGAGTGGTCGAAGAAGGCGAAACCGTGCGTTTCCAATGCGCGGTTGTTGGTCATCCGACGCCCTGGTTGAAATGGGATAAGAACGGAATCGTTGTCACCCCGACCACGAGAATTTCTATCGTGGAAAAAGACGACGTAAAGATCCTGGAAATCGGCGAGGTCACCCAAGAGGATGCTGGACTTTACAGAGTTCGTTTGGAAAACGATTTTGGTAGAATCGAGGCTAGCGCACGACTCGAAGTGATAAGTAAGCAACGATAATACAACTTATATTCATTGTATTCGCAAGTATTTAATAAATAATGCAATCATTTGGAAAGGTCGGCATGGATCTTTAGGGCGAACAATAAGAACTAGAAGTGCCTCCCCGAGAACTTATCCTTATTTTTCTCGAAATCTTCTCGACACAACTACTAGAACGGACGGTCGTCTTCGACTGCAATGCGGCCTAAGAGGAACTCCTAGTCCGACGCCGACGTGGTACAGGTAATACACGAACTACTCTTTAGACATCGTTGTCGAGACAAAACGCTTCTTTGTTCGTTCGTATTTTAGGAATGGACGACCTTTGACCCGTTCAAATAGAATAAAAAGACACTTTGACGGGAAAATTGCAAAGATCGAAATTTCTAAAGTAAAAGCTAGCGACGCAGGCGAGTACAGTTGCGTGGCAACTAACGTCCTTGGCTCTGCGAGAAACACCTGTCAGGTGAATATTATAGACTTCTAAAAATGACTTTCTTTTTCCTCCTACTTTCTCTTCTTCGACTTATCGACGTTTACAGGTAACTGTACTTGACCCAAACGACTCTTCGACCTTGGACAAAGAATCGCCTAAATTCCTGCAATCTCTTCCCAAAGAATCGATCGTTATGGAAGGAAATTCTTTCGAACTTCGTACTAGACTTACTGGTAAACATAATATCCTTTTAATAATACCATTCGGCCTTTCTCTCTTTTCTTTTTTTATTTTCATTTCGAATAATAGATTTATTCTTCCAGGCACTCCCCCATTCTCGATCCATTGGTTAAAAGATAAACGCGAAATTCCCGACGGTGACTGCCATCATTACGTTTTATATAACGATGGTGGAATCGTCCTTAGACTCTCCGATGTCCATCCAGAAAACGCTGGAGAATATGCATGCATCGTTCGAAATGAATTTGGTGAAATTTCTTGTAGCGGTCTCCTTGCCGTCCAAGGTATTCGAATATTCGCTCTTTTCAGCTATACCTATCTCTATGCATTATTTTATATTCAAGGATATTTCGTTTAATTATTGGACAGATTATAAGACTATTCGAAATCTCGCGCCACGATTTAGCAAAACGCCGCTAACTCGAATCGTCGCGAAAGGCGAGACCGCGTGTTTCTGTGTACGAGTACAGTGCGAGAAGCCGATGGACTTCTTCTGGACTATTAATGGAAAAGACGTTAGGGATAATGCTAGATGCAAGGTATGTGTATTGATCAATAGTCGAAACGAGACAATTATTATACAAGATCGATATTACATAGGTCGAGAAAGACGGAAATGTCTGCATTTTGAAAGTACACGAGGTCTGTTCACGAGACGCGGGTGAAATTCGTTGTACGGCTTCCGTCCTGGGCAATGGTCCATCGATCTGCTGTACAACGGAATTGCAATTGAACCGAGGCTCGTGTACATTCGAAAATTGCACAATTTCAAATTCGAAGAAAGAACGGACGATGGCTCATAATCGTGAAAAATCCCCGTCACCGTTGCCGTCGCCGTCAACGTCGTTTCGTCGTACGCCCCTTTCGAGCTCTTGTAGAAAATCTATAAAAGAACGACATATTCTTTCGACGAACGCATCCTGTCAACAAGAGGACAACAAATTTCAACGCGCAAGATCGTCTTCGCTTCCTTTAAGAAAGAAAGTATCCAGTCCTAAAGAACTTTCTCCATTACCGAAGAAGAAAAATGTACTTCTTCCAACGGATCGAAGCAATCTCTCGAATAAGCAGAAAAACGAATCTGATGCAATAGATTTAATACCATCTATGTGCACGGAACGATCTCTATTAACGTCAAGTCCGGACAAGGAATATATCAAAGATGATGACGAATCGTCCAATCAATTGGACAAATTTGTAGCAGCTACGATCGTGAATGCGCCTAACGATGTAACAGTTTTCAGAGGTAACAAGCTCGTGCTCGATATTACCTACCGTGGCGATCCCGAGCCCTTAGTTAAATGGTTCCGTGCGGTAAGTAACAATATGTTTCATAAGTGCACTCACACATAATACATACCTACATATATACAAACTTTCCTCTGCCGTTTTATTTGACTTATTTATTTTAATTGGAATTTATGAATAACTGTGTCAATGACCTTATGAAATGATTATTAAAGACTCGGTCACCTTACGGCAAACGATATTCGAGATCCCCTTCTCTCACATTTTGTTATAGAAACCGACGCGACGCGACGTTCGGAGCTCGAAACAGTATTCTTGCGATCGTTGACAAAACATGCGTGCTTCCTAAACCTTGAGAACGCATTTTTTTAGATCCTTATCGCACTTCTTCCACTCGGTTTCATTTAACACTCCCTGTAAAATGATCGTAGTAGAGAACCAATTTCTGTTCCGATAGCAACGCGTACTGGGTGGGAAGCAAGTATAGAGTACCAAGTATACAAAATAAATGTTCATTCATTATTGTACAAATATCCTAAATCTTATCAACATTTTTGTTTATTGTTCAAGGGTCGAGAATTAAAATCCGAGGAGAAAATTCAAATTACTTACGGTGCTGGTGTCTCTTATTTAACGTTGGATAATATAACGGCGGATCATGCTGGAAAATATGAAGTGTCGGTGGAAAACTTATTAGCGAGAAATCGACAATTTTTTAGTCTCGCTGTTGAAGGCAAGTATCTATATATAGTATGTATTCATACCTATAGAGATGAAAAAAAGGAATTGCTTCTAACTATAAGGTAAACGTACAAAATTCCACGCTGTCGATCTAACGTTTCGATTTCTCGTGTTTCGAATTTGAAGTGACCATTCAAACAAACAAATCTTAAGATTTGTAATTCAAAGAAAGACGTAATCCAGATCGAAATTCTAATTAAATTTGAATCTCTACGTATGCACATATGTACGGAACGATTGTTATCAAGCAAGATTTTTACGTCTGCTCTGTAAATACTCGAGAACAAATGTTTACGACGAAAGAAACCGTCTTACATCATTCCTACTTAATTGGCATATCGTATCGACATCATTAACTCACACATTGTTACAAAATTCGTGTGTGTTTATTTAAATAAAGGTATTTAGACAATCTCTCACGCCTGGCAAACTATGAATTTAATTGGAGGATCAATCGTTTATGACTTGAAGAAGACACGCGTACGTATATTCCGATTCCTTCTTTTTACAAATGTTCTCGGAAATATTACGTCAAAGATTTGTTTAGACCAACGGGAAAAAATTGGTTAGACCATAGGGAGCGAAGGATTCGATTAGGGAAAAGTTGAAATAGACTCGCTTTACACGGTCTAGTTCCTTTTCTCGCGTACAAGGCGGACGACAATCTCACGTGACGAGTCTCGCAATTATTCCTCTACCATTTTCAACACGAAGTTACACCACTCACCGCTCTGCTTCTCTCTCTCTCTCTCTTCCTCTTCCTCTTCCTCTTCCTCTTCCCTCTCTCGTAAAACCTTCTTTTTTCCTCAAAAGACGTCTCAGTAGACGTCCATTTGCACCGAACGCTCGTATACTGCTCTCTCTCTCTCTCTCTCTCCCTCTCTCTACTAGATCAGTCAATATTTATCGCTTCGACATAATGGAACGTGTTCTTCGACTTTGCTTACTTTATTTTGACTGAATAGCACATCGATATCGTTTCAAGTTCAATATTTTTCATTTACGAAGACATTAAGACGATGGAATTGGGTAATATACGACACGTTTATATCGCTGTTACAACATAGCATATAATATCAATCAAAAATAACATATAATTTGTAAAACATTTCTTAAAATTTCTTAACATTTCATTAAAGCTTTGATTAACAAATAAAGTTGGGTGTTTCCTGATATATTAATCGTGATTGGTACTCGCGCGATATTCGAAAAAATTCGATAATAAGATGTAATTTGAACGATAGGACCACCGGATCCACCGGCAGGCATTCCAAACGTTACAAGTTCAGAAAATTCGGTAACGATTACCTGGAGTTCACCGGCTTACGACGGTGGCTGCACAGTAACCGGTTATACTATCGAGATGAATCGAGCAGATGAAAACTCGTGGACGGTTATCGATGAATCTTGTCATTCTCTGAGTCACACGGTGCTTGCATCGTCAAAGAATTCAATCGTCGCTGGTGAAAGCTACCGTTTCAGGATCAGAGGGGAAAATATACATGGAGTCGGTGAACCCAGTGTGGAATCCGAGTTCATTAGAATACCTCGAGAAGGAGAAACGATTATACAAAAGGAGGAAGAGGAAGGTAATTAAAAATATTCAAATACAATATTTTCGAATTTTGTTTTATCGTTGGTAATAAACTTAAACCTTCCTCGACGTCATTAATTGCATTACATAATATTTGTTTCCAGAGTTTTCAGTAGCTTTCGAAGCTCGCACGGTTCATGCAGAAGACTCGCAATTATTCGTCGATAGATATGACGTCTTCGAGGAACTAGGTAAAGGTCGCTATGGCGTAGTAAAAAGGGTCATCGAAAAATCCTCGAATGCGAGTTTCGCCGCGAAATTCGTACGAACGATCAAAAGCAAAGATCGTGAACAAGTTCGCGAGGAAATTAATATTATGAATATTCTCAGACATCCGAAGCTTCTTCTTCTAGCAGCTGCGTTCGAAGGTCCTCGAGAAACAATAATGATCACCGAATAGTAAGTATTATATACATGCTTTCGTTAATTCTATGTTTCCTTTATATTTATTAATATCGTTTATCGTTGTTCCAACGAACAGTATTTCAGGTGGTGAACTTTTCGAGCGAGTGGTAGCAGATGATTTTACTCTAACCGAACGGGATAGCATACTTTTTATGAGACAAATTTGCGAGGGGGTCAAATACATGCACGAAAATAATGTTGTACATTTGGACCTAAAGGTAAGAGAAAAAGAAATCGAGTCTGATTTAAAGGGATTGCGAAGAGGAAGAAATGTTTTCTAATAAAAGTCTATTCGCTGCCTTTACAGCCAGAAAACATAATGTGTCGAACGCGAACTTCGCATCAAATCAAGCTTATCGATTTCGGATTAGCGCAAACTCTTAAACCAGATACACCGATCAGAGTTTTGTTCGGTACACCGGAGTTCATACCACCTGAAATTATAAGTTACGAACCGATCGGGACAGAATCGGATATGTGGAGCGTCGGTGTCATCTGTTATGTACTGTAAGTTTTTAGTCAAAATATAGTTAATATATCTGGACTAAAGCATTGCCCTATTAAAAAATATCTTTGTTCATTCAGATTAACCGGATTATCACCGTTTATGGGGGATAACGATGCCGAGACCTTCGCAAACATAACGAGAGCTGATTATGATCTAGATCACGAAGCTTTCGATGCTATTTCTAATAATGCTAAAGACTTTATCACTGGTTTGCTCGTTAAGCGAAAAGAGTAAGTATTAATATCGGCAATAGTAGCATAAATAATATTTCAATGTTCGATATTCGATTACTTCGTAGATCGCGTATGTCAGCAAGCCAATGTCTAGAACATCCGTGGATGGTTCAACATACTGAAAATATGAGTAGAGTGGCATTACCGACAGACAAGCTAAAGAAATTTATCGTACGCAGAAAGTGGCAGGKAAATATTACTCGTTATATTCGACGTTCGATGTTTTCTGATTTTTGCCTTAATGACAACTCTAACGACATCAAAAATACATGTTTTACACAGAAATTTAAAGACTGCTATACGTTAAATTCAAAAGTTTGCCAGCATGTGCACGTTGTATTGAAGAAAGAACAAGCTTGTTTTTATGCACGTGTAACGTTAATATATAATATTAAACGAAATGAAACTTGGCGAAATGTAATAGAGTGCATAAGAGCGAGCTAAAATCGCTTTTAAATTTCATTTATTTTATAATACCGTAATATATTTCTTGATCTCTTCCTCTCGTGCTATTAAATTCGCAAGGAGTGTGCGTATTGTATGTGTGTCGCGTGTGTGTGCACGCATTCGTTTGTCCAATAGAAAACAGGAAATGCCATTCGTGCGCTAGGAAGAATGGCAATTCTTTCGGCGAACAGTAGGAAAAGTCCAACGACGACAACTGAGTGTTTGGAAACGATCGATTCGACCAACAATACGGACAGCCTTCTAATTAACAAAAATGAAAAATCTGTACATTCGGATAGAAGAAACGATCCTAATGATACGATGATCGAGCTAGAAGAAAATTCGGACGAATTCGTAGGAACCCGACGAAAGAGTAGCCTCTATTCGTTTTGTTACAAAACGGAAGTCAATATTCCTTTGCAAGAAGAATCGGACGGCAAGGCAGACAAAGACGAAGAAGAAGAAGAAGAAGAAGAAGAAGAAGAAGAAGGAGGAGAAGAAGGAGGAGAAGGGACTGGCGTAGAGAGCAAATTATCCGTAATCGATAGAGATTACGTATCCGATAGATCTGAAAATCAACGACGAGTCTTTCGAGGTGACTCGCGTGATTCCGGAATTGGCGATTGCAGTACGAATTTAGCGACTTCGTCGTTGCAATTAGACGAGTTGGGAATCGTTTCTATCATCGAAGAAGAAACGGACTGCGAGAGTAGTTCGAAATCTTTGAGAGATGATACAGGGAGTACCGAGGCTACCTCGCAAAGTAGCCCAATTAAAGCTTCGCCTGAGACTAATCGCGTTCACGAAGGTCTGTAGCTATTTTAACAATTATTGCTTTCTTTTTAATCGATCCATTGCTTTTCCTCGCATAACTGAAAGTAAATCCTTCTAATTGTGTAATATTTTCGTTTGGTTCGGATAGATGCCAATGAAAATCAGGATGCAAGGATGATCGTTGCTCGCAATCGAGACAAATTTGTGCCTACGGGAAACGTTAGTCGTAGAGCAAAGATGTTTGAACAGGAAGCAGCGGGCTTAAAATCATCGCCAACATCGCAAATTCAAATCGTACATCGCGCGTATCCGGCAGCAACGATGGCCACTGGTAAACCGCACAACGAAAGGATACAACGAGTCTTTGCTTTTTGGAATAAATAAGGAGTCTTTTTTAGTTTTGTTTTTTTCTATTCCGACAAACCAGCGACGCCGTATTTAATTTTGTTTTCATTTCATCGCTCACTCACACGCGAAAGCATACAATTATAACCGAATACAAATCTAATAAGAATAAGAATCTTGTTCAAATGTTAATCAGTTTTTTCGACAAGACCGAATCATAGAAAAACTATCGTGTCTATAATGTTAGTGTAGATACTTAGTGAAAAATAAAATGTACACGAGTATTGTTATAGTCAGAGATATTTTGCCTTATCGTATCATTTTCCAACGAATCGGACGATCAAATTCTGTTTATAGTGCTGTCATTCTGTTAAATAACGTTGATTTAGATAAAATTTCACATTTTATCTGATTCAAAAGAAACAACAACAAAATTGCTAAACAGATCTTGTGATTTGAAAAAGCCTGCTAAATAATGAAAAAACAATAAATTGTTAATAAAAATTCGTTTAAATATTAATAAGGCCTCGAGGGAAAAGGATTAAACGAAAATAATATTCTTAACAGACGTTCCTCGTATCCGACTTGTTTACAGGTAGACGGTGAAGCTTTTACTGCTTTTGCGTGTTTACATCTCGAAGAAAAAAGGAAACATACGTATTGAGGATAAAAGTAGGAATAATCGTATTTTTATTTTGACAACGGTCGACGACAATTGTTTACCAAAGTTATTTTCGTTCGCAATCTTGCCGAAGGCAGTCTAACGGTAAGACGTGCTCCTACGAATTTATTCTTTTTTCAAATAAATCTTTGCTTTTAAATATTTTAACTCTATGACGTCCCGATGGCTCCATGTTGGTGCCATGCAAATGTGTAAGTGCAAATGATGTGTCAGTTCTACCGGCGCGACACAAAAAAATCTAAATTCGACGTGCGGACGGCATAGTGTTAATTATAAAACGTGATCTATATCTATATCGTGATAACCGACGAATCAACAATTTTTTAACAACAATTTTCTATCATCGCAATGAATCGAATTATTCTAAATTTCTCGAACGGATTTATATTCCTTAGTGAGATCAAATTATTTCTTTTTATATTTTCATCCGAAAACTTAGCCGAAAAAGCATTGACTGTGTTAAAAAATATTTTTTTTCCAATTTCTTCGTAAAGAATCAATAAATGATCGATGTATATCGAACGATATGGATAACAAATCGCGTAAAGATAAAGAGAAATATAAGAAAATCGCTTGCAAATATCTATTAATCTATAATATAATATATTCGTAAACGAGAGATGATTAATAATAATATTATATTAACATTTTATTACCATATCCCATATCATTAAATTATTGTTCATTTTTTAAGCGTTTCTTTTAATCATTTCTGCTAACTCATCTTTGAATGGACAATTTATAAAATCTTTTAGTTCCAAATATGTAAGAGTATCGTTACTTACAGGTGTCCAGGTAGTATTAACGTATTCATTCAAAGATGACGTTGGATTCCTAAAAGAAAAATAATTGAACATTATTAAATACAATCTATATATGTATCTAACCGTAAGCAAACACATGACTAAAAATTGTAAATGAAAAAACTTTACCCAGTTTTGGCAAAATTAGTCCACAAATACGTAAGTCGCTCGATCATAGCCCTATCTTTAGTTCCTTTTGCTGGAGGTAAAGGATTTTTAGCTTTGCAAAGTGGTAAATAAAAGAGATAAGATAACTCGTCGGTGTGAGAAGCTCCTAAAGATGAAATATTGTAGATTACTTGAAATATTATTAGAAAATAAAAAGATATTTCCTTAAATAACGTAAAATGTACCCTTTGGATAGTAACATAGGTTTTCCGACTGTATTTTACTTTCTCTTAAAAGTTGAGTAATTGTCGTTTCATTCCCAACATAAGAAAATTTATATAAATATGTCGGTGCACAATTTCTCTTTCTTCGATCATCAACTATGTTATTGGTTGGATGACAAAAAAATATATCGCTCATAAAACTTATCAAAGATGGAATAGCTTCCTTGATTATTGGTTTATCGTTTCCAAAGTAATAATTTCTCACATCTTTTACTAATCGATCAATTTTCTCTGGCTCCTTTGAGATTGCTAATTGTTCAATATAATAATTCAGTTTTTGGTCTGTTTTTTTTAAACCCTCGTCACTATCATCTAAACCAAAGGAATGGAGAAAGATTTTGGTGAATACCAACAGAAATTTCGTCATCCCCATAAGTCTTAACACGATGGAAAAGAATATGGATATAGAAAATTAGATGAGAATTTCAACAATCTACTTACTTTTTAAGAACATTATAAATTCATTATTCGTATATCCGATCATAATCGGTATATCAGCATCGTTTTTCAAGAGTTCGTTTAACGGACGAGGGAGAAATGGATTTTTTGATTTGGCATCCATAACAGGTCCGGTCGGTAAATTCTCGACATTCTCCATCTATTAACATGATTTTTCTTTCATTAATATATTTAAATACTAATTGTAACGGCGTGTTCTAAACATACTGTAGTTATTTGGAACTGAGCCTTTATAAGTTGCGCAGCTGGAACCGTTCGAAGAAATTCAACAACTTCTTTAGGATCTTTCGAATCTTTGAAACCAAGGATTGATGCAAGTTTAAAGCAATTTTCTGGTTTACTCAATTCTAAGCTCCAAGGACATGTCGCTACTCCGCTTGCACATATAGCCTTGTGAAAAAGACCTACAATTGAATACTTTATTTAACATACTTTAATTCAAGACAACTTCACTAAAAAAAACATTTTAAACAATAATGTTTTCAATTTATATTTATTATATTTGATTTTTTATATCTGTTATTATTGCATTGAAAACTTTTATTTTATAACCTTTTGCCATAGGTGATATTGTTAATAAATGAACGCATGCTGCACCAGCGCTATTTCCAAATATCGTTACATTCTTAGCATTTCCTCCGAAATGGGAGATATTTTCTTGGATCCACTTTAAAGCTGCCACTTGATCTTTTAAACCTTGATTACCAGCTGCGACCTCGTCATCCAAATTCAAAAATCCTTTTTCAAATATTGAACGAAATTGTACACATTAATCGTTCTAATTTATTCTCAATTATCAATCTTAATTATTTTTCAATGAAATGGAAAATAAAGAAATACGTAAGAATGTCTCGTACCTAAAACTCCTAATCTATAATTGATAGTCACGAAAACAATGTCCTTGTTCATAAAATAGTCTGGTCTTTTAAATTTATCAGTGCCAGAACCCTGAACAAATCCACCTCCATGGATAAAAACTATAACAGCTTTATTTCCAGTCATTGAAGTCGTGTAAACGTTGAGATAAAGAGAATCTTCGCTACCGATAATATCGCTTGGCGACATTTCATTCAGCTGTACACAACAATTCACCTCGATATTTCCAGCATCTCTGAAACCGGTCCATGAAGCAGGAGGTTCTGGATCCTAAAACCCATTCAAAATGAAATTCAGGCTAGTTATTAAGAATTTAAATGCTACCGAAAATATGCTGTCATATCAGCAAAAATGTGAATTTATTGTCTTTTAACATTATCTTGCATTTAGAATGACTACCAATAATGGAAAAATAGAACTTACGTGGCAGATATTACAATACAAACGATGAACAATTAAATACCTTGAATCTTAATGGACCAAGAGGAGGAGCGGCAAAAGGTATTCCTTTGAAACTAAAATAAGATGTTCCTAAAACACTTTCGCACAAAGAACCCTTCAATTTTCCCTGACGTACGTTTACTATAGCTGACATTTTTTAATTGTATTGCAGCACTTATCAAGCTAGTTCGAAGCTATCTAATACTATAGACAATCTATAATTGTGTATACGAGTTTTTATATACTTATCTAGAGATAAGGCACTGGAAACAAATAAGATAAAATTGTTTTACCGTTGCATAATCAAGAATGAAAAATATTTTATAACGAAACGTACAAATTTTTTTCACCGTTTTTTTCTAGTTTAATACATAAATCAAAGAATTATTACACAATAATTTTTTAACTTAAACTGAATGAGATGATTTTTTAGCAAAATATGAACACTAGTCAAAGTATTAAAATATCAATTTATAGTCGCTTCAACATTATCAAGACTTTAATTACATGTCTCATAAATATTATATTAGGAAAACCGAAAAGTAATGTCGTTTCTGCGCATGCCAATATTTTGTTTTCATTTGTTAATTCATTGTGTACGTCATTGTGTATTCGTGTTTGAATTTAATGTTTACAAACAACATTACTTTCCGGTCCTCCTATATATATATATATATATATCTATATATATTATACATTTAATAACAATACAACTATATATAGAAGATATAGCTACATTTTCGAGACACGGGTAGTGTTTTAATTTCTACAAAACAATATAAAATGTGTTATAGTTGTAATAATTTGAAACAATATTGTTTCGAAAAGCACGTGTATTGTAAAAAGTGTAAGTAAAATTATTATGTTTCTTGGAGAATTAATTTTGTGCATTTTCTGTAACTTTAGCGTTTCATTTTATCAAGAATGGGTACGACCATGTCAAATGAGGGACGTTTCCCTGGGTCTTCGTTCATACAAATTCTGATTAATTTGGCAAGATGCGGAGAAATACCTGGTGGTATACTAACACGCAATTCTTCCAACGCTATCTATAAACAGAGTTATATATTAATAACAAGACATATCTATGTATATATAATCGCGTTGGCGATTTCGATTTCGTTTACCTTCATTCCACATTCCATGGGAGAGAGATCAGCAAAAGGCACTTCTCTCGTAGCAAGTTCCCACAAAAGAACAGCAAAGCTCCACATATCGCTAGCTTCTAGATTGATATCGGCAGGTCTTTTGCTAAGAGCTTCTGGAGACATCCAGGCTGGTTCGTATATACGTCCAACCTCTTGGAAAGAAAATTTCGAATCTGCCATATTTACTCGAGCAGTTAAATCTTCGTCGATCTACAAAAGCATATATGTTTAAATAAATGCGTATAATTATATATATATATATATATATATATATATACATATAATAGGGCAATAGCACATTTATTATGTACCATAATATGTTTACTGTTAAGTTGAAACCTGCATCTATTTTGCCTTTCTAATCCATGAAGAAAGGCCATAGCTCTTGCCACATCAAGGGCTAATCGAAGTGCTCGTGCCGTATCAACGACAACGCCAGTACCTCCATGTAGGAGCCTATGCAAACTTCCTCTAGCCATGTATTGTGAAACTGTCGCTAATTGTGGCGGTTGATTTACACAACCAAGAACCGGAAGAACATTTGGATGAGAAAATATTCGGAGTTTTGGAAACTCTTCATTAAAATCTCTGGATATACGTGCTGTGCATTCACGTATATTTAAAATTTTGGCTACAATATCATTATTTTGCCAACGCCCTCTCCAAGTTTCTCCGCTTGGAGTACTCGCTAAATGAGTATGCAAGGCAAGATCTGCCATGTTGATACCTTTGTATCTGGATAAAGTGGCATCTCCTACAAATAATACAAATATTTCAATTCTTCTTTTCTATTTATTCTTCCATCAAAATTAATCAACTTACTGCTCCTAGTTTTTAATCCCAGCCAACTTTGATCTTTAAATTGAATTTTTTTTAAATCTTGTCCATATTCTACTGCCATATCTAACAGAAATAGTACATTAAATAGAAGCAGTAGATTCAATACGACTGATTTATATAGGACAGGTTCATCAATCTTACCATGTAGTCTTTTTGCCAAGTGTCCTCTAGCTTTATCAAGAGGAGTATCACCATCCTTGTTAGCTATGGATACTAAGGCACCAGCAGCTACTAACTCTTCGGCAACAGCTTGGTCACCCCAAAAACACGCATAATGAAGAGCGGTATTTCCATGTTCGTTGGTTACATTTACATCTGCTTTATTTCGCAATAACTGTTAAAACAAATGTTTTAATGTTCGTGCTACACTTTGTTAATTGTAAAGACCTTTTTAGAGATTGAATCTATCTATTTTTTACCAACTGAACAATTTCCTTATGTCCATGCGCAGAAGCAAGATGTAGCGGAGTGTCGTCTCCTCTATTTGTAGCATTAATGCGTGCTCCTCTACTAACTAGCAATTCTGCCAATTTCAGATGGCCTTCTTTACAACACCAGTGAAGTGGACTAAATCCGTGGTCATCGCTATACATAGAACAATGAATCATATTTATGGTAATGATAATTCTAATGAAAACAATCTAATACATGCATTATTATTGTAAATAATAATATAATTATATATGCATATATATATAATTTATAAGATTTAATATGGAGAACTATTAAAAAATACTATATATATCTAAAGTTTATTTGTACTTAACCATCGCGTTAATGAAAAATGAAATAGGGAAGTTGGTGAGAAGAAATCTAAACTATATACGGAAACCACAACATTTGTGAGACTTTTCCAAAAAAGGAAATAGCAAATTTATATTTACCCTTGATTCATGTCATGTTCAGTGTCGTCCAACCAAACACGAACTTGCATAGCATTTCCTTCGCGACACCATTGAAATATATCTTCCATTTTATTCTCTTTATCGATAAAAATTGAAGAAATTCTATAAATACTACGGAAGTGGCAATTTCCAATTGTTATCAAAACTCTTATTCCCTTCACATACTATATATAATTATATTTTCTTTTAATTGCACGCTTATAACATATAACATCGACGTGTAAATTTATTAAGACTTTTCTTCTACTTGTTTTTCAGCCTATATCAATATATAAAAAAATAAACAAGATCAACGTCCAAAGTAAGTAATTAATTAATCTGACACTTGAATCTTCTTTACCACGATCTTCCATGGATCACGCTTAACATTTCTCTGAGAACGCACCCATGCGCATTACTCCATTTGACCATATATGCTAACTATATATATACTTTATTTTTATACACACACTCATTCGTTATGGAGGGGATTTCTTGACTGATAATGAATCCCTCAATTCAAGTCAATTAGATATCATAAATAAGTAACTATCAAAACATTTTTATTATATTTTTACAAATTCATCAATTAGTATATTTACCATAATTAGCTAATATGTGCTACTTTTAATATTAATTATATTTATTATATTATATTATGTTTATAATATCGCTGCTCGGTGATTGGTCAGCATGTCACTCAGCAAAGTCGAACCGTGATTCGTTGATTGTGTTTCTCGATGCCGCTGCTTCGGACATATAATCAGATCAGAGTATTCCGTTATCTAGCTTTAGATTAAATTGGAATTTTAGAATGGAATTTATTTAATATTACTTTCTGTTTTTATAATAATATATTGTAGATATTAGTTATTCCTCGATGCTGCCATGGAATTAATAGAGAATTTATTTTTATATATTTTGTTAATTGTTACGTGTATTATCATCGTGGTACGTTTGGTGATTATATCCCTCATTTTGACAATATACATTATTTTTTATTAATAATACAGATCGTTGATAAAATGAAACAAATCACAAATAAATAAAATATATAACTTAAATTTTATAGATCTATATATTACGTATACTCAGTATTATGAGAAAATGCATATAAATGCACTTTGTATATCAATATGATCATATTGTATATGTTTTAGTTCTGTCTAATATTGTATATAACAACGCAACCTTATCCAAAAATATGGCGGGATGGAAAGGAAAAGGTTTTTTTCGATCACAAAACAAAGGAATATCAAGATTTTCCTTCATTGTACAATGATTGGAGTGTTAATTTAAGCGTTATAGTACCTGCCTATAACGAAGAGGAAAGATGTAATATGACTATATTTTTAATAACTAAATAATTTGCTTTTATATTCTAATCGGTTAAAGCTTTTTGAAGAAAATATGATTTAATTTTTATATCACATTTGATTGTTTAGTACCACCAATGTTAGACGAATGTTTAGAATATTTGGAAAAATTAAAACAATCTGGTCACAGTTATGAGGTAATAGTAGTTAGCGATGGAAGTACAGACAAAACTGTAGAAGTTGCTCAACATTATGCTTCCAAATATGATACCGTGAGAGTATTGGCTCTTGTTAAAAATAGGGGTAAGGGTGGTGCCATTAGGCTGGTCAGTATTAAGTAGTTCCTTTTAGTAAGCGTATGATAAGTATATATTACTTGTATCGCAGAATATTGATTTTATTTAAAGGGTATGCTGAGCTCCAGAGGTAGCGCTTTGTTGTTCGCTGATGCAGATGGTGCTACTAGATTTGCTGACCTAGACAAATTAAATGACAGTTTAAGAAACACGCTAGGATGTAAGTTGGATATACATGTAAAAATAAATCCAATCTCAAATAGCAAATTTATCCTTAACTTTAGCATTAAAAGTTGATTTATTATGTAAACTCTAACTTGCAGTTGATTATTTATCTAAGCCAGAAGAATTAGCATTGTCGCATGCTGTCATTTGTGGATCGAGAGCTCACTTAGAAAAAGAAGAAACTGCTAAACGTTCCTACTTTCGTCTATTTCTGATGCACGCATTTCATTTTTTAGTTTGGTTCTTGTGTGTAAGAGGTATTAGAGATACACAATGTGGTTTTAAATTACTAACAAGAGAGTCTGCGAGAAGCATATTTCAAACTTTACACGTTGAACGTTGGGCATTTGATGTCGAAATGCTTTATATCGCTAAACATTTTAATATTCCTGTTACCGAAATTGCAGTCAATTGGACAGAAATAGAAGGATCAAAAATAATCCCATTTTGGAGTTGGCTACAAATGGGAAAAGATTTAGTTTTAATTTGGCTAAGGTACAAAATTGGAGCATGGAAAATTCATAATAGTAAACAGAATTAACAGAAATCATCCTGATTTTCTGATAAAATGAGTTTGGGTTCCATGCGTTTTCTATAGCCTCTAACATGAAACTGAATTCATTGCGATTTTTTAAAATGTACTAATAAAGAGTGATTTTTCCTAATGCTATTGTGATAATTATATTATCATATACTAAACAATGACTTTTTTCTAGACATTTATTTAGATGTATTTTATGACATTTAAAGTAAATTGAGGTTACGTACGTTAACCGTTTACATATATTCTCTTTAGTAAAAATTAAATCAAAAAATCAATCACAATCAAAGTAGATTATAAATTGCAAATGAAATAATTATTTATGTTGTTTCACAATATTTTTGTCATAGGAATCTACATACACAAATAGCAATGATCAGAATTAAGCTCATCCAATCACAAGAGATGTATACTTTGGTGGAATATTCGCGATTGGATAATTGTTATGCGCGATGAGTAAGGATTCAGTGGAAAGAATGACGTGGGAATGAAAGAGGCGTGGAAAAACTTGGCATAGTGTTGACGACGCTAGTTAAAATAGCGTAGACGAATGATATCATTTGTGTGTGTTTTTATATTTCAGTAGGATATTAAAAAAGTATAAAATCGTCAACAGTATTGAAGTTTTTATCGAATTTGGAATTTTGGTACAAACTGTTATAATTATTAATTTGATAAGTTGCGTGTATTGTCGAAATGTCTTTCGTATCGCCGATGCCCAACAGAGACTTTTTGTGGGATGTGTTTAGAAGGTAATTATACGTTTACAACGTATTGGTAAGTAACTATATAATATTCTCTAAGTAAATAGATCGCGAATAATTAATAGTTTTTAATAATTAGCGATTAAATCAAAGTTCATTAATATAGGTTGGAAATCCATTCGAATGTAAAGATTGTCAAGCATAATCGATAGGTAGAATTTTATGTTTTTCAATGCAATAGTTAAGGACATGGTAGCTTAATAATAACTTCATTTCTAGGGTGGATAAAGATTGTTCTGGTTCAATTACTGCGGATGAATTACAACAAGCACTCTCAAATGGTACCTGGACACCTTTTAACCCGGAAACGGTTCGCTTAATGATCGGTAAGCTTGGCAAACGATCTCTACAAACGATCATGCAAGTAGTTCTTAGATAAACATTTGATCTACGTGTACATACACACAAGCATAATACAATTAAATGTTTGGTGTTTTAGTTAATATTTTGCATGATCATTTGTTATAAGAGCGTTATAGCTTTGAATTTGTTCTGTTGACACAGGTATGTTTGATATTGACAAAACTAGTCCTACTTCTTCAGGTATGTTTGATAAAAATCAGACAGGAACTGTTAGCTTTGAAGAATTTGGAGCACTCTGGAAGTATGTTACCGATTGGCAAAATTGCTTTAGATCGTTTGATCGTGACAATAGCGGTAATATTGATCGTAATGAATTAAAAACTGCTCTGACACACTTTGGATACCGTTTGTCAGAGCATACGATAGATAATCTTATACGTAAATATGACAGAGCTGGCAGAGGAACTATATATTTTGATGATTTTATACAGTGTTGCGTCGTTCTTCATGTAAGAAATCAATTATTGACAAGAAATTTGATTTAAGTTTAGTTAAGTGTAAATAAAATCATTAAAAGTTAACAACCTTTTTACAGACATTAACTGCAGCCTTTCGACAGCTAGATACAGACTTGGATGGTGTTATCACTATTCATTACGAACAATTTTTGGGTATGGTATTTAATTTGAAGATTTAAAGTATGCTCAGATGCAAATATATGCCTTGCCGTTCAATGGTTACAAATATAATATAATACACAAGTTGCCAAATAAATAATATTCTATTTCTACACGTTTCACACATAAGGAAAAGCAAAACTGTCGACGTTCTTAGGTTAGTCTAAAGATCGTTTATCTGTTTCTATCGATTCCAAATATTCACGGTTTGGTTATATATTTAAGATCGTTATTTTTTTGTCCATTTATTATTATAATTGTTGTACAATATTCCTACTGTGGATCTATTTCTACATCTTTTTAATATCCATGTTTATGCTTAAATGATAAAATATAGTAAAATATTAAATTTCTATACTTTTTTAATATTTCAACTAAACGCTTGTTTATAAAATAGATAATTATAAAATATATTTCTTTAAAAATATTTTTTATGATTAGTATTCCATGATTATTCCTAAAATTCCTGTAATTTCACTGAAGCGAAATTTGAAGTTGCATTAATACCGATTGTCGGTAAATATGCGCATTTGTTGTATGCATTCCAAAAATTAGTCGATAAAGTAGAACGTGTTGGTAATGTAGTAGTTCGCGTTAAATATTGACATCAAGCTTTGATATTTCTTTAGAAAATAAATTGCTTATTATTGTCTTATTTCTCGTATCATAGTTTTTCAGTAAAGTTACCATCATTAACTCTTGTATAGCGTATAATACAAGTTGTAGATTTGCCGCTAAAATTATCTAACAATAAGAGAAATTTTGTAAGTGTTTTAGATAACCGATCGCAAGATGGCACTGCAGGTTTATAACTTCACCTAGAAATATTAAACATAATTAACAACAGAAAATACGTATAAGTTTAGTAAAATACAGTAACTAAGAAGTTGAATGCTTTAGTAAAAAAATAAGTGATAAGAGTCATGAAAGTAATCATACGTGGAAAAAGTAGAATATTGTTTATATTGTGCATAAATAGGTTTCCTTGGAGTATCGAGATTTAATTGATTTGGATTTAAAAAAAATATATTTTAGTAGTTGTTAGATTAGTAATATTTTTTGTAACAATTATAAAAGAATATTCTCATATTTTTGTTTTAATTCTTATGCTATTTTATATTGTAAAATTGAAATTGTTCTCTTTTTATATTTCCAATTGAAATTGTATTAACGTTTTAATTTGTTAATAATTGTCAAGTACATGTGTAGACATAATATATGCCTTAGTTATCGGATTTGCTCGCAACGAGATGAAATAATCGAATAAATGAATTTTTGGATCTTCTAATCGACCGAATGATCAATCGATCGATCGATCGATCGGTCGATTAGAGTTTTTGAGTTGTGTGAAAGTAAGATTTTAATTGGCCTTAAAGATGGTAGAGTATCTTGAATAACTAGCTGGTATGAAGTTTGAAAAGTAAGGAAGGTCCGATAGAAAGGAGGTAAGGTATATACATAGCTCATGTGTAGCCGCACGTGAGTCGGGGAGGGTGTTGGAAGCCACGAGTACCGCGGTAGACTGTGGAAAAAGAAAGGTAAGAGAAGTTTGCGTGTCTTGTTTCTTAAGGGAGTAGATAGCGATGCCATGCGAGGAAGAGGGGAACGGTCTGCAAAGAAGATTCTTCGAGGCGAAGGGGAGGAAAGGTCTGCGCGCGGGGTGGTTAGTTGCTCGGTGGTCCGAACCAGCACGCGGGAGGCTGGAGGAGGGTGGTTGAGAGTGGTTGAGGGTGGTTGAGGGTGGATGAGGGTGGATGAGGGTGGATGAGGGTGGTTTAGGCAGGCAGGCGGGGAGTGGGCCGAGCTAAGACGCGTAATGACGCCCTGAATCAATATGTGAGCCACTGAGATATGCATACGAACTAAGACAACCGCGCGCACTACTATCCGACCATCCAGCCGCACGGCTCGGCTCTGCTCGGCTTTGCTTGGCTCTTTCGCGCCGTCCGCGGGGAGGGGAGAAATTAAAGACGAAGCAGGCACAAAAATAACGACCCACCCACCCCTCTCGCGCTCCCTTCTTCTACACTTTCCCTTCAGCCCATCCTCCTCTCCAATCCTCCTCTCCCATCCTCCTCTCCCATCCTCCTCTCCCATCCTCCTATCCCATCCTCCTCTCCCATCTTCTCCACCTTCTTTCTCTCGCTCCCGCTTTCTTTCTACCCCGCTCTCTCTTTCTTTCTTTCCTAACGCCCTTTAAGCTCGACACCCCTTCCTCCCCGCTGGCCCTCTTACCACGTTGCCTTTCTTTTACTTTCGATCCTCCTTTTCTCGCCAAAAAATGTTAGATATTAGACTCGCTATTTCAAGTATATTTGACAAGAGTCAAATTCGCGTTACGATTCGATCCAAACCTATTCGTCATTAATGGAAGTTTCAACAATTTCACTTTTAATCCTTACCAATGTTTCCTTAAATAATTTTTCAAATGCATTTCCTTGTGATTCATCTTATCTAGCAAAGTTTTAAGTACAACGATGTTTTTCCTCCTATAGACATTTAGTAAGCAAGTCAATTTATGGAATAACGATGGAACGAATCGTTATAACTCTATATAGAAAATCGATTGGAACAGAATGTGCCAGTGCATTAACCCATTAAAGACCAAGCGCGGTAAATGCGTAATGAGCAAAGATTTCGTTAGTCTATTTTCAGATAGTAGCTTTGTAACAGAGAGCCGACGGGAAAAGAAGGAAAAAGTTTCGACTTTTTTGTAGGCGTTCTTTTTGTTTTGGCAATGAGACGTTGTTGGAGAAAGTTTACGGTCGTCGGTACACATATACATTGTCGAAATAATTGTTTTACGCGAATAACGATCCCCGTACTCTTTCGTGCGACGAGTGTATTCGTGGCGGATACCATATAAAAAGAATCAAGCTAGGGGTGCTCGAAGATATATGACTTAGATTTACATGTGACCCAATTCGCGTTCCCTTACGATCGAATCAATGGTCAAAATGTAGAAATAAGATCCTACACTTGATTACTTTAAATATACACAAAAGAGTAATACAATTTCCTTTCGTATAAATAAATAAAATGCGCAAGAGACCATATCTAGGAAGAAGTCGTGAAACTCGGTTATTGCTTTAATTCCTCTTACAATTAGTGCGAAGCGGACGTATGCGCGACCTACTGCAACAAACTAAATAAAAACTTCTTTTACAATTTTTGACTTTTTCATTTAATCCCACAATAGTTGTCCCCAAATTTAGTCCCACAATAGTCATCGAAGATTTTTCTATTTTTCGATAAATCAAAGGATCGAAAAGAAAAGTTTTTGACTCGACGGTCAAACCAAAATGAGGAAACCCATTCAAACATTTAAATATCCGAATATAGGAATATCCGAATTTAGAGATTTCTACCCCAAGAAAGACGAAGCGTTCATCTTCCAGCGTAATCAATATTAAAAGTCTAAAACGTCTCGCGTGTGTGGCAGCTTGGCCGCGCGTGTAGGGGTCGTAGCTCGACGTCGGGAGTTGAACCCCGCGTTACTGCTTCAAACGAGTAAGAGAGAGAAAGAGAGAGAGAAAGAGAGAGATGGAACAGTTAGAGAACGGGCAGGCAGGCAGGCAGGCAGGCAGGCAGGCAGGCAAGCAAGGAAAGCGCGAGAGGGTTGGAGGGGTCGTCGCGAGGATACTCAAGGGTTTGCGGGGGTGGTACGAAGGAGAAGAGAGTGAACGGCGTCGTCTAAGGTGGTGGTGGTGGTGGTGGTGGTGGTGGTGGCGGCGGCGGCAGCGTTGGTGGCGATGGTGGTGGTAGTGGCGGTACGAGGAGGTGGAGGTTCTCATTAAGCAGCCCGGGCACTGCGCGCTGGGGGTTCAAATAAGAAGAAGAAGCGTTGCTGGAAGAAGGGAGAAAAGGAGAAGAAAGCAGTAAGACTAAGACACAGGGTAAGAGGAGGAGGAGGAGGAGGAGGAGGAGAAGAAGGAAAAAGCGAAGGAGGTGAGTTAGGGGATGCACGAAGTGCGAGCGAGACGATCGGCTTTACGAGAAGGAAAGGAATGGACCGAGGGAGAATAAGAAAGAGAAAGAGAAAAGGAAAGAGGAAAAGATTGAGCGAGAGAGAGAGAAAGAGAGAGAGAAAGAAAGACACACATACACACACACATATATATACACATAGAGAAGGGGTTGGGGAATTATCAGGGCTCGCACTCCTTGCTATGGGATGGGGTACCGGGAGGCAATATGGCCGCTACTGATGAGCGATGCTCGTAACCCTTACTACCATCCATCCCTGACAGATCCGTCAGTCGGTCGAATCTCTTAACGTACTCGGAATTATGCCTGCTCCGACCCTTTCTTTATCTTCATTGCCGCCATTGTCCTCGCGAAAGCATTGCCCGTCGTTGAACGTATCGTCGACTACGCTCGTGTGCGACGTTCGGCTTTAATCAATGGAAAGGACTTTTTCTATCTTCTTCTTTTTCTTCTTCTTCTTCTTCTTCTTTTTCTTCCTTTTCTTTTTTTTTCTTATATTTCGCTTCTTCCATTTTCCTTAGATTTCTTTTCTCGATACGATACGCGCCCGTTGAACGCCGATGCGCGATCTATTCTTGATCGATTTCGTTGACGATGGACCGTGTCCTAGGAGAAATTATGCAATCTTCGTTGCAATCGTCAAAATAACCTTTGGCACTTTGTAACTTTTGTTTATGTATAATCTTCGATATTAATAGGATTTTGGATCGCGTCGGTATACACATGCATATATAGATTAGATATAGATAGATCGATTTACGATTTCGCTTAAGAGGGACATTACTTTTCTATCGAGATTCGTTTGGTAGCAATAAAAAAAAAGTCGGGTTTTCATCGTTAAATATGAGTTATGGATTTGATCGCACTTAGATCGTGTTTTATTTCTCTAAAAGATAATCATATTTGTCTCTTTGAGAGATTGCGAAGATGTATTGTACTCGATAGTAGAATATCTACTACGATAAAGGTAAACGTCATACATAGATATTTATGTCGAGAAGACATCGAGACTCGGAAGGTCCGGCGGCTTTAACGATAACGAGGGATGTAACGAAGGGGTAAGGGAGCGAAGACAACTGTGCGGTGGGTGGCAAGGATGGGCAGCAGCTAAGGCGAGAGCGGCTAGGAAGAACGGCTGGGTTGGTTGGTTGGTTGAAGGGCTAGAGAGCGAACGAGAGAAACTGAGAAGGGAAGAGAAGCAGCAGCAACGAACGGACGTATGGATAGACCCCGACGGAAAGGTATTAAGAAGGTAGAGATAGTTCCCCAAGCTAACTGCCTTGGCAGCTCAGGAGCTATCCTCGTCGCTCCTCTCGAGTTTCTCTTTCGTCCTACGTCGCGACTAGTCGTCTTACTCGTCGTC